GAATCAATTCAAAATGAGTGGAACTTGAAACATACCTTCTGACCAATGTCTTCCGTACGACGTGACAGATTACTGGAGAATGTATTCTCAATTAGCCCCTAAAAAAAATTAAAAACTGAACACCTTTTTGGAGACCCCTAGATGTTTAGGTAAACTTTGGAATTATATCAAAAGGCAGAAGGGTATTTGATTGTCAACTTCAGAAGCTATGCCCTAAAAAGTGTCACCAATTCAATTAATTATTACATTTTCATATGGCATTAATAAGATCACTTGAATGCAGTCTATGTATTTCGGATGGATATCCATCCGAGATATTTTAGAATATCTGGATATTCAACGCAACTGCACAGCGCCAGAGCTGTGTGCGTCACAAATAGAATCTACGGTATGTCGCGACGTATATGTGTATCAAGTGCCACACGTACACAGTCACACTGTGTCTGTATTTTACGTGTAGCGACATACCGTAGATTATATGTGCGACGCAGCTCTGGCTCTGTGCAGTTGCGTTAAATATCCAGATATTCTAAAATATCTCGGATGGATATCCATCCGAAATACATAGACTGCTTGAATGAGAGATGGTTGTTTGTTAAAGTGACTCGCTTTTGTCAATTGGGGTCCATGTTTATTTATTTACTTAGTAGGAATTGGCATCATCGTTGTCGACCTTTGTATGTCTGTGCATCATCACGCGCCATAGTTTCGAGTGCATAGAATTGTGGAATTTTGAAATATCTTATTATGTTTGTGAAATGACATAGCACTGTGATTAATTAAGACCATTATACAAGCAACGATGAACGTATTCAATGGGATGTGTGCGTGCGTATATGTATTTTTGTCTATGTACTCTTTTTTTCTCTGCTGTATATGTTATTATTGTTATCGTCGCGCTGCAATTTGTGAACATTGAATGTAAAATGAAAATGTGTTGAGGTATAACAGAGATCAACCCCCGTGCTAGACTATGTACATTGTTTGCAAGGAATTTTTCGTCCAAATCATTTGATATACGACGACGATGGTAGTTTTTTTCGCGCTTTGCTCGTATTGAAAGCACAAGTGAAATAGAGACTTGTGACGACAAAAACTACAGCAGCCTTTGTGTGCAAATGAAAAAAATGCAGTTCATGTTCGTTTTTAATGAGAACAAATGTACAAATTTTTCTTATTTGTCGCACTGTCACGAGATTAAAACGAGCGAGAAAAAAGAAATAAGCAGGAACAGCACCAGCCACGATTTTATTTTTATTATTCCGGATTTCGTTTCAGTTTTTGTTTCAATTGTTGACTACTATACCAGTTTCTATGGTTCTTTCATTCGTTTGCTCAATTCTTCTTGGTGACATCGTTCACTCTTTTGCATTGGTACTGCGTCTTTGGTTTGAGGCCAATATTTAAAATATATGCGCATATATGTATCTCTTTCGATGCTCAACATGCAAATACATTTAACATTTTGCCGTTCGTACATTTTTTTTTCACCACAAATCGTAGTTTGAAGCATATACTATAAATACAGATATAGGTTGTTTTATTAGCGGCGTACGTCAAAGATTCTAACACATAAAATATGAAAATTGTATCCTGTGTTGCTGCATTGTTTGTTTCGTGGAAATGAGAAAAAAAGAGCGAACATTTCCAAGCATCACGCTCACATCGTCGTCAACAACAACAATTTCGAAAACCAAGAACAAAAGTCAAACAGAGAGAAAGAGATAACATGTGATAGAGAAAGGACGGAAAATATTACAATTTACCTTTTTTAAATGCTTGCACATACACGTAACACATAGACACATATTTTATACTTTAATTTTTACTATAAATTTAAGTATATTCTCTTTCTTTTGGTCTTTTTCTCTCGCTCGCATTTTTGTCGTCATCATAGGCTTTTTAATGGAAGACAATTTTTCATCGTAAACACTACTTTCACTCTATGTACCTTGGCACCTTTATTGTGGATGCTTTGTCAAATGTTTATGTGTATATGAAATTATATATGCTATTCTTTTGATTAGCTCACTATAATATATATGTACATTGTACAACACTATTCACAATTTCTTTTTATTCACATAATTTCATGGACACTGTTTTTTACTCTATCTTTTTGTCATGCCATTTCTACCCCCTTCTGCCCATCTTACTGCATTTTTCACTGTATTGCCACATTGTTTTACTGTCTCGTATGTAGAGAGCCATTTATTTTGGTATGAATGTGCGAGTGCACGTTGCATAATGCTCAAAAATGAATCCGCATAACTTTTCATAGGCCAACACAATATATGTACACAAATAGAAAACAGTCCATCAGAGAATATAGTAAAAGAAAATAACGAGTAAAGTCATACACACAAATACCAAAGTAGCCCAGAAAAAATTGAGAAAGAAAAGTGAGAGCTCTCATATGAAATGCCAAAACGACAAAAAAATATACAGAATAATATAATGGAAAAGAGAGAGAGAGAGGGAGAAGTAGCGCAATTTTAAAAAGATGATGCTCATCACTTTTGGTTTGATCCATGCCAAGTTTGAAGATTTTTGTTTTGTTGAACTGTACTGCCGAAGGTTACGGCTTCCTGATGTAACATGTAAATAAAAAAAAATTGACGAAGCAAATTTAAGTAGATACACACATACACAATAAAATCGTTAGTTTTTTTTCATTGTTATGTGTAAATATCTTTAAAAGTTTCGGCCCCTCTGCACACTGATTCTGTACATTCAGTATGTGAAGCGGATCAAATTTTATTTAACTTGATATACAATACAATAAGTAAAATGGCAAAATTTCAATTGAGAAATAATTCCATTTGTACATCGATCACCATTTCCCTCTGTCTCTTTCCTGTTTATTGTGCACGACGGCGGGAAATAAGCAGGTTTTCCTCGTTCACTTAATAAACGAGCTTTATTGATAGCATGGCTTTAATGGTTCAACCCATTAAAATTGCACACAATTCACTTCCGTTTAAAACGCGCTCGCTGTCTGATAACGTCGAATGAAACGCAAACACGATAAAAAACATTCTAACTTAAATTGTGATTAAGATGATTCACAATTTATTTATCCCCAGTTTTTTTTCTTCTCTTTTTTATTTCGCAATAACTTTTCCATTTCTATTAACAATGTTGTATTCCAACTATGATAATAATATGGTTTTATTTTTCAATTTTATCTGCTTAGCTTTTACACTGATTTTATTATAGTCAATTGGTTTTTATTTTTCGATCGGATATTGGTTTAGGGTGAGAGAGGGAGAGAGAAAGAGAGACGAGGAACGAAAAGTCGTGCACAAGCTCATTTGGTTTCAAGGATTTTATTCGTTGTCGATGATGCGCCCATGTTCCTTTCCTTATTGTATTTAGTTAATGAAATTTTGCGTCATATTCTTCTGTGCTGCTGGAAAATGGCTCTGAAACTCCATGAACCAAATAATATCAGTAAGACCTATCTTGTTCACATATCTTTTATTTTTGATCAAGAGCGCGTTCATAACTCATAACTGATTTACTTCGAACTGAATCAATTCGTTGGATATCATTTTGATATTCTTTTTCTCTCACACTCTCTGAATCGATTGCCACCCCCGTTGTTCAGCAACATAATATTTCTTCATCTGATACGCTTTTTCATTTTTTTTCGAAGCGTGTGTTGGTTTTGAACGTGCTGCGGTTTAAATCAATAGCCTTTCTGTTGGCTTTTTCGCTTTCTCTCTCTTTCTCTCTCTATCTATCTCTGGGTTGTAGTCTTCCAGACAACTTGACAAATGAAGCAAAATGCCCGGAAACCTGAAAGCGGCAACAGAGACATGCCAATGCGTCAGCAAATAGAAAAGCACACACCGAAAGACACAAGTTTATATATCCATCGGAACCATATCGGAAGAAATTAGGAATCGCAATGACAAACAAGAGTACCGTCAACATAATGTCATGGCAGATAAAAATTATTGCTGTGCGTTGTGTTCATCGTCGATGGTTTTCTTTTTGGTTTGGTTTGTGCTGTTTTTGTACTATAGCCCGTTCAACGCAAACGAGAATCGTTCATCGAATATGAAGGGGCATACAGAACGAAAAAAAAACCTAAGCAGTAAGAGATAGTAATAGGGAAAGCGCGAGCGACAAGCAAAAAAACGGTAACATCGCATAAAGAAAAACTAAACGAAAGCACCAATGATATGCTATTTAAAGAATTTTATCGCCACATTTTGTAACAGTATTTAAATGTACATATGTAGGTTTTTGCATAATTTTACATTGCATTAAGAATACTTCGCCGTCGTCATACCATTGTCAAACCAACAGAAGAGAGGAAGAGAGAGAGAGAGAGAGAGAGAGAGAGAGAGAGAGAGAGAAATAGGGAGGGTGGGGGAGTTATAGCAGCAAAGAATGAAATGAGCTGCGGATATGGCTTTTTATGATAACACGTCTTAAATTGTAATCGCTATGGATATTAAGACATTTATCCTTTCTATTTAATAAATCCATATCAGTCGCTGTCTATTTCCATTGGTATACCGTATGCGGTATGATGGATATAAAAACGGATCTTGGATAGCGAACAAAAGAGAGAAAGAGCAAAATAACACTTAAATGCAAATCAACAAATGAGTTTCCCGTTTGCATGGATTTTGATCAACAACTTTCAGCAAAGCAAAAAAAAGTGCACACAACGACAGAAAGAAAGTGAAAAAAAAACAGAGACGATATAAAAAATGTTTGTCGAGTTCATGCCACATGGGAGCCATGTACTGTTCAAATTCGTTTTTGAACAGGTTCCACATGAAAATATAAACGAATCCTATGCATTGCAACAAAAAAAAAAAACAAGTCGAATAAAATAATTTTTTTTCGTTCTCTTCACATTTTTCCCCTTGAATAATACGACTCATAGAATGTATTTTGCTTTTTTTTATTTGTATATTTATTGTTATAAAGAGACGATTTTGATCATTTTATTTTATTTTTGCCTTCTTTTTCATTTTCAGTATTCCCAAATGTGCCATCAGCACCTGGAATGTCTTGTGTCGGCGAAGATCGTAAGTATCATTAATGTTAATAACTTCATAAATACTATAAAGACTATTTTTATATAAAATCAAAATAAAGAGCCGCAGGGTACTGTCGTTGCTATATAAAACTGGCATTGGAGACAATGGGTGAAAAATGGATAGATAAAGAGAATTATATGCTTAAAGAGACTTCGATTTTGAAGAAGATCCATCCATTCTACATAGTTTTTATTTCGTATTTTCGTCTTTCTCGGAGGCGTGTTGCTTTTGTTATTACGATGTTTCCAACCAAAATCCGAGACATTTATGTGTAAGGTCCTAAATGTAAAGCACGAAAGGTACGTGAGAGTGAGTGAAAGCGTCAGAAGCTCAAAGCACTGAATCGTGGATTTATTCAATCAAAGCTAAAATGCAATTTTTTCACTCTACTTTCTTTCTCTTCATTCTCCATTCCCTATCTGTCTCTTCAACTCTCAAATGTTGTTCGTTCTTCAAGTTGTTAAACTGTGTGCCATTTCATATAAAAATGACGTAAGTTTATGTTTTTTAATAATTATGTTTTTCCACTGATTATACAGCTCAGAGTTTATGCTATATCTTCTGACAAATTGAATTTATTTGCTCAATTGCATTACGTCATTCACCAGAGAGAAAAAAATGAGCTTCTTTTATAGCATGTGAATAAAGGTTGTAAGACATCATTGCGCACATATATTACATTGTAAAAAGAATGCATTTGCAGACGCCTGTACACAACAACAACAACAAAATTATGGCATTTTCTGTTTTGACGGACAATGGATTTATGAAGCATAAATAAATTCATTGGGGATATGATTTTATCAAATGCATTTTTATGTGATGTTTTATTGTATAGTCGCTAACATTATTTATTTATTCATTTAAGCTGATAAAAACAGGATATTTCAATTACATCTCACACCTTGTTAGATCTGGATTCTAGTTTTTGATATTGGTCGTAAGAAGATTTAACTATAAAAGAGCATGAATTATGTGTAAGCATTGGAAAATTGTACAGTTTTTGACGTTTTGTTTCCTCAATGGTTACTGATAAATGATTTTTGAAGAAAACATAAGTCATATTTTTCTCAATCTGCGCCATGTGTCAAATAGCGGTATTTTATGCCATTTCGGCAAAAATGACTGAGACAAGTGGTTGGATAAGATTCATGTTTGACGATGACCAATCTAAACTTGAGCAGAGATTTAACGGGCAAAATAAGGCTTTTCCAAATAAGCTGCACAGACACAAGGATTAATGAAAAAAAAATTGAATTTAAATCCGAAAAAAATGTGTGCACACAAAATCTTGAATATATGCATTCTATTGGATAGAGACAACATTTTCATAAGTGTTTCCACACCATTGTCAGCGTGTGCATGTTTCATTTAACATTATGGCATGAAATGTGGTGCGCTCAAACTTATAAGCATATTAGGCAAACGATGTCAATTTCATAAAGGCTTATTCACTCATTTTAAATTCGTTCACAACAAGTTTTTTTTTATGTATATTTTTTTCTCATTTACTTTTCTCATGCGCACTCATACAGGGAGCATTTATCGACGTGGTGCTCGACGATGGCGAAAATTGTATAGAGTGAATGGTCATATTTTCCAAGCGAAGCGTTTTAATCGCGTAAGTATCTCAGAAATGCACTCCGCTTGTTTTATTCATTTATTCATTCTTTTCGATCGTTTCTTTTTGTTCCATTGTTTTCACGTCTCTGTTGTCATTCGTCCTTTTTTTCGTGTGTCATTCGATTCACAATTCATTTCCGCAAGATATACGAGCTTGTCATTTATCACCATAGAACTAATGACAATGAAAAAAAAACGGTGAATGTGTGATACAACGTGGACAGAAAATAGAAAAATCGAAAAAGAATGAAAATTACACTTAAACTAACAAAAAAAACACTGATTGGGAATTTTATGCATGCCCATAAAAGTGCTGCCAACATTCATATTGAACTGCTAATATAATTATTATTTTTTTCGTTTAGCGTGCATTTTGTGCATATTGTCACGATCGCATTTGGGGTTTAGGTCGTCAAGGATTCAAATGTACGCAATGTAAATTACTTGTTCATAAAAAGTGCCACAAATTAGGTTCAAAATCATGTACCAAGGAACAAGTGGAACCGATTCTAAGCGATAGCCACAATGGCGTTAGCAACGATCATCAAGCAATAGAAAATGTTCCACCGGCCGCCGATTATCCACCAGAAATACCAGAGCACGGTAATATTCTCTTTTTTACAAAATCGATTGTTTATCGAGATGATTATCAATTCTAATTTACTGTCATGCTTGTATTTTACATATTGATGGACTTTTTTTTCTGTGTTTCGAAATGCACACAATAAAGGTGATGTTGGTGCTATTGAAGCAGCGCCTGCTGTTGAAGAAACATTGGAAATTGGGCCACAGCGACAGTATTCATTGGACGATTTTGAATTGATTCGTGTTATCGGCCGAGGTAGCTACGCAAAGGTGTTAATGGTCGAATTGAAACGCACTAAGCGCATCTATGCGATGAAAGTAATTAAAAAGGCATTAGTCACCGATGATGAAGACATTGATTGGGTGCAAACGGAAAAACATGTGTTTGAAACGGCATCAAATCATCCGTTTTTGGTCGGTTTACATTCATGTTTTCAAACACCATCACGGCTTTTCTTCGTAATCGAATTTGTGCGCGGTGGTGATTTAATGTTTCACATGCAACGACAGCGTCGTCTACCCGAAGAGCATGCCCGTTTCTATGCCGCTGAAATTAGTTTGGCATTAAACTTTTTACATGAAAAAGTAAGTGGTTAAATCGACATTATAAGCTTGCAGCAAATCAACAGAAAATCAGCTGGAATGTCCATAGTTCATTTGTAAAAAATAAACGAAACTATATAAATTGTATTTGTACGATACCGTCTTTACATTTGTAGTCGCCTCAAAGCCAAATATTGACAAGATCAGAACCAAATGTGTCACTCCTTTGAAGACAAACTATTCGCTGTTATTGTTTTTGTATTTTTATTGGAATTTCTCTTTCTCGATCACAGGGGATCATTTACCGAGACTTGAAATTAGATAACGTCCTATTGGATCATGAAGGTCACATTAAACTAACTGATTATGGCATGTGTAAGGAAGGAATACGCCCGGGCGATACAACATCAACATTCTGTGGTACACCAAATTATATAGCGCCAGAGATACTTCGCGGCGAAGACTATGGTAAATATACACAAACAAACGTCATATTTCCACACCTGTATAGCCTGTAGCTATGCTATTGGCATTTTTATTTTCAATCAAATTCGATACGGTGTATTCAAGTATTGCACAAAATGGGACACGATATACGAATGTGATTAGCCAATAGCCAATGTGATTGTAACAAATAAAATACTATATGCCATTCAACACTGAATCTCACGCTTTTTACAGGTTTCTCGGTCGATTGGTGGGCTTTAGGTGTATTACTTTATGAAATGCTCGCTGGACGAAGTCCGTTCGATATAGCCGGAGCCAATGACAATCCGGATCAGGTATGTTGATAATTATTCCAATCGATATCGTACACTTGAACTTTAAAATTAAATCGTAAATATTTTTCGTTTCGTTCACAATATAGAATACCGAAGATTATCTCTTCCAAGTGATTTTGGAGAAAACCATTCGTATTCCAAGATCGCTCAGCGTGAAAGCAGCAACAGTGTTAAAAGCGTTCCTCGAAAAGAGACCAGGAGAACGGTTGGGATGCAGTCGACAAAATCCATTTATGGATATTGTGAGTCATCCATTCTTCAAGTCCATTGACTGGGAATCGGTGAGTGTTGCATTTTTAATTGAAATTACCATTTTCAGCTTTTGATTTGATTTTTTTTTTGTGTGTTTAAAAATATCCATAAAACGATTGAATGAAAGAGAGAAAATATAGTAGAAGAAAATCTGGGAGTGTGGTTTATTCAATTGATGAAATTCAATCAATTTGATTGCGACTTGTTTAAAATATGATTGTTTGTTTTATTTATAGCATATTGAACATTTGATAAAATTTAAGCATCTCGTATATTTCAAATTTCTTAAAATTAAAATCATCAACAAAATCCATTTCGAAATTAAATTATGATCAAAACGAATCAACAATATTATTTGTACACGTATTGATATTCGATAAAGCTTGCTCAAAAGGAAATCGCACCACCTTTTATACCAACATTCGATCCGGAAGATACGGATCTTACTTCAAATTTTGATCCTCAATTTACACGAGAGCCGGCTGATTTAACGCCTGATGATCCGTAAGTGTCACTCGTCTAGCCATTTGATGACGATGATTATTGAGAGGGCGAGAGAAAAACGATTTCGGTTCGAATCAAATAACATACGATTGCTTGGTGTGTGCTGTGTGTATCTAGAGATTTTATGCGAATTTGTTCTACATACAGATATTGTATATGGAGAATGGAAGCGAGGAGCGTTTTTGTGGAAATTCCACGCTTCTTTCTTTCACTCTCATACTGTATGATAGCAGCCAAATTCAATCAACTGATATATTTCAATTGGCTGAAAATTCTGCAGTACAATGTCTGGTTCTATTATAGAACTTCTATAAAATTGTATTTATACACACACACACGCATACATATATACTCTCATTTCATTATGAAAATAGTTTTAGCTCGCTATCTATCTTTATTTGTAAGTTTTCTCTTCTTTGTTTAATTTAATTTCTGGAATGTGTTTAAACTATGTGGCTTCTTTTTTTCCCTTCAAATATTTATCAAGGATTTATATTGAAATCAATCCATATAGAAGCAGCACGCTGTGTATTCATTTCTACTATTTTCGTTCTCACTTTGTTATATATCATTAAATTTTTACTTTCGCTCTCAATGGCTCGGTCGCTCGCTCTCTCTCTCTCTCTCTCACACACACACACACTCATCCACTCTCTCACCCCATTGTATTGGGAATGAACTTTAATGCGTGCTAGATTTTTAATTTGTATTTTATATTGCATATATACATGAACGCTCGCATTGTGCGGCAATTTAGACCGCAGCTTATTTCTTAATTGAATTGTTTATAAATGAAAAGGCAATCTATCAATCAGGCGAGTTGAAGGATAAGGTGAGCGAACATTTTGAACGAATATTTCTCATTCACGATTGGCTTTTGGTGTGCAAGTTTTCGTGTTGGCAGGGTGAAGTGGGCCGGGGGTGGAATGTTGAAGTGCATTTGGTTTTTGTGTGTTTTCTTATCGCTGTGTGCGATATATTTCGCGATAAATCGAATGAACGCGTACGATATGAAATAGAAATGTCAGCATTTTAATCAATCCAATTTAAGTTGTAAACATTTGATTGACGAGAATGAAAGTGGAAGGCGGTTAGTGTTCTTGAAATGGTGCATATATACAATTGAATTTTCACAATAAACTCCGTTTTGATTTTCAAGCTACGATTTGGACGATTCTCCGGTGCCGGTGCATTTGCATGAAAATGGTAGGCATGGGATATTCAGAGTCATATTTACATGCACATTTGTTGCCATTATACGATTCGTATTGCATTGTAATCAGAATATTGTGCTTTCGAAGCTATAGTACTCTTCATGGTATGCTTATATTTGACTCTAGAGATTTCTATGTCAACTATTTCATTGTTGTATGCAAAGACCAGCGTCTGAAAATCTTCTCTTTCTATATGTTTTAATTTTTGGATTTCTTTATTCGCAAATCATTATATTTCCAGCTGAAAAAAAAACAAAACCACCGAAAAAAAATGTTAATTTTATTTATAATCTTATTCTTTTCTCTTTCTCTTTTTATTTTATGGTTTGGCTAAACAACAAAATATGAACACACAAAAAAAAAAAACATATATGATTTTCCATGCTTTTTGGTTAATTTCATTCTGTTGTTTTTGGGGAATAATCGTTCGCCATTCATTCATGTTTGGTCAATGGAATTTGTATTGCACACAAAACACATACGAAATCCAAATGTGTGTCGGTTATGTTGATGAATGTTCGGGGTGGAAAATGCAAATACAAAAACAGCTTGAGCAAAAGCAAATTACACCTCCATTCCGACCGCGTTTAGATTCAGATAGAGATTTGGCTAATTTCCCACCTGAATTCACTGATGAACCCGTACAGTTGACGGTTGACGAAGAGTAAGTACATTATTGAATTTATTCACTCTATGCAATGTATTTGAAATTTTCAGTTTTGTTCGTCTATGCATATTCGATCGTTTATCGTTTGTTTGTTCGTCAATATTGTTTTAAATCGATTGTGATATGTTTGGCATTTACAATGTTTTGCATGATATAATCATTTGTATGATTAAATTCGAACAGTAGATAAATACTCAAATAGAAATTAAAAGAATAGTGTCACACACCGAAACGACGAACATTTCTTATTCTGCTTGCTCCGCATTTTATCAAATTTGTTTCTAATCACAAAAATCAAATTTTTTCTTCCATTTTTTCTTTTCGTTTTGTGTTCAGCCATGTCATCGAACGCATCGATCAAAGTGAGTTTGAGGGATTCGAGTATGTGAATCCATTGCTAATGTCATTGGAGGATTGTGTCTGACATCAACCATCGTGCCAATTGCATTCATGTAACATGCAGGTAAAGGATGTTTAAATAATATTTTGAATAGTTTATATGCACGTATTGAATGAAAATGCCCATCGGCATGATTTCATTCAACTTTTAATTTCTTTTCAATCTGTTAGTAGTATGAAAAAGCGGGTTTCACCTACGTTTCTTAGTATTAGTGTACACACACACACTCTCTCTCTCTCTCTCTCTCTCTCTCTCTCTCTTTTCTTCTCATATGAGCAAAAGAACTTCAAACATGTTCATTCAAGCAAGAGAAGTGAAAAAATACATCCGAATGCCATGCACATGCACAATCAGTTGCAACTAAAAAAAAAAAATGAAAGGAGCGAGTACGACGTTTCCCCCTTTGCTAAGCGAAATTAATCCGATATACGGCGCTGATGTAAATGTCACTCTATGTCATTCCACAATGATACATTTTTTGGCTTGACAATATATAAGCTCTTCATTCAACATGCATAATTTTTGAACGGTCGAGTAAAAAAAAGAAACATATCATAAAATATTCTTCTTACGTTTATCATAAAAATTCTCTATATTTTAAATTTATTTGTTTAAAAACAAGCGTTCAGGATCGCATACATTTATGCGATACATTGAATGATGCATGCATCGTTTGATGCGAATCAAATAACGCAAACACAACGCTAACGATGTCGCTGTGAGTACGGACCTGACAGCGCACGACGTGCTTATATGATACACGTAATGATGTGAATGTTCAATAAAGCAAGACCGTCGTGTGCTACTAGATCCGCACGTACAACGACAGCGTTAGCGTTATTTGATGCGAATGAAATGATGCATGCATCATTCAATGTATCGCATAAATGTATGCGATCCTGAACGCTTGTTTAAAAATAACAATAATTTCAATTTTTTTTCCATAGATTGAACAAGAATCTAATGTAAAAAGTAATACCAATGCGACACCCACCGTTAATATAGAAAAGGAAACTTATTGGGAATTGTAACATTTTGGTCCGCCATAACAGCATCTTCGTTTTGCTTCTCTGTGATTGGTCAAGTAAAACGAAGATGCTGTCATGGCGGACCAAAATGCTACAATGGAGACCAACTAAGTTTCTTTTTGCATTTTTACGGTAGGTGTCGCATTGTCATTACTATTTACATTGGATTCTTATTTAATCGATGAAACATTTTTTGTTGAAATTATTGTAATTTATAAACAAATTAATTTTTTTATAAAACAAAATTTTTAATACATTTTTTAATGAAAAATGTTAGAAAAATATTTTATGACATATTTTTTTCAACGATTCAATAATTATGAATGTGTATGCATTTTAAATGAAGAGCTTATATATTGTCAAGCCAAAAAAGTATTATTGTGAAATGACAGAGTGACATTTACATCAGCGCCGTATATCGAATTAATTTCGCTTGGCATAGGGGGAAATATTTTGACAGATAGTACTCGATCCTTTGCTTTTTCGTTTGCTGGAGCTGAGTATGAAAACGAGAAAAGATCTCTCTCTCTCTCTCTCTCTCTATCTCTCTCTCTCTCTCTCTCTCTCTCTCTGTCACTAGTTCTATGTGAGTGATCAACAGCTCTGCTTACCATATATTTTAAATGGGCAACTGTTTCTGTGTGCAGCAACGAATGAGAGAAACTCAACAGAACCGATAAGAATTACAATGAAACTCTTTTGCATGACATGAAAAAGTATAGTAATTATAACATTTCATTTACAACTGAATTGAAATGCATAGGAATCATGTAAAAGGTGATATTGCTTTAACTTATTAAGCTATCAAAATGAAATGAAATGAAAAACATTCAAAAAGGCAACGTTCGATGATTTTCTAGATATTTTATTGGTTAAATCAACAAAACAAGCAGAAGCTGAGTGAATCATTACCAATCAAACAAAATGGTTTTTCGTTTGGTTTTCGATTCAATTTGAAAAAGTTGCAATGAATTGCAGAAAAAATTGTTGAAAAAACAATATCAAAATGAACCACATGTGCAACGGCGAATTCGATCCCAAAGATCATTGACTTGACCTGATAAGTCATTATTCAAATCCCATAAATTAGCAATTTGTGTATCGCGGTGACGCACAATTTGTTCCAATTCAAGTACTCGATTTTCCAGTTGATTTTGGGAATGATTCGCATCAGGTGTAGCGGGTGTTGGGGTATCGACCAAATCGACACCATTATCTCTCTTCCGTTTCGCATCTGATTGGACAGATGTTGAAGCGAGCCGTTTGTTTGAATCCTGTGGACAGAACAGAATGGAAAATCATCAATTAAACGAGTGAGATTGAAAACGACACATTGACAGTATTTTCAAACCCTCTAACCAACTTTTCTTTAAAACTGAAAAAAGATAGCCGGGAATTATTTTCTAGCATAATTATGACCTTCTAAACTCAAAAAAACCATCAGCAGGTAAAAAATTTTTTTCGTTAAGACACCTTTTGATCAAAAGGTGAAGGGTGCCTTGAGGCAGCCTTGTCGGTTTAAGCGAAAAAAAATTTGCAGTAGCTTCATGTGATGGTAAAGGTGAGCGTGGTCTTTTCGCTGGCTTTATTGATTTCTTCGATGCACTGGAAGTAGATGGAATTGGTTCTGTGGTTGCCACGGTTTCTTCGGCTTCAACAACTGGTACGAATACTGCGTCTCCTTCAATTACCGCGTTTTGTTCGGTTGTGACCACTGGTACAAATACATCTTCCACTTCAATTGGATTGATCGTTGATGATGCCGTAGGTGCATCTAATGCGCTTATGTTTAGTGACATATTTATAGCCTGGGTGATATAAATATCGCTGTCTTCCAAACCTTGCATCATTTCTGAAACGTATTGATCGTCTTCAGGTGTAATTTCATCAGGAACGTAAATCGGATCGTCGAAATCGTCATCGCTATCGAAATCAGCTTCTTCGTCTGTTTCGACGGAATCCATAAATTCGATCAATTCTGCATCAGTCAACTCGGATAATTTGATCCGACCTGTTGATCTACCCGAATTACTTGCCATTTCTATTATTTTCTATGAAAGAAATAACATTTAGGGTGAAAAACAATGAAAAAAATACACAAAAGAGTGATGATACAATGGCATACAAAGGGGAGATAAATTTACACCGTAACCGACAAGAGTGCCTACAGGCACCCTTCACTTTTTCGATTGTTTTCCACAACATTTTTTTTTTCTAAAGTCACTATATGGATAAATAGTTAGTTTAATATCATACCTTTTCACAAAAATTTTTTTTACTTCGATCAAAGCAGTGTAAGTCGGTCAAAATAAAACTTAAATTTTTTTTCCAGAGCAAAATAATTTTTTGTGTTCACTCGTCGAAATGTCACACTAATATGCATATGTCGCCGAAACGAACGGTCTGAGTGCGTTCAAATGTTCTGACGAAATGTCACAAAAACTATAACCTACAAGCAGCGTAATGAATTTGATTTTAAAAAATTTATATATTTGGTGATAATTTGAATTTTGTCAAGGCTCCCTGTAGGCAGCCTTACCGGTTAGAGGGTTAAGTACATTTTTGGTACAATTATTTAAACCTAGTCCCCAGTTTCGACTTTCACATGTGCGGACATTCGAATATACATCCATTTTTTCACTTCTCTTGCTTGAATGAACATGTTTGAAGTTCTTTTGCTCATATGAGAAGAAAAGAGAGAGAGAGAGAGTGTGTGTGTGTGAGTGTGTGTGTGTGTGTGTGTGTGCACTAATACTAATAAACGTGGATGAAACCCGCTTTTTAATACTACTTCTGTTTTCTTCTCTTGTCGATTTTTTGATTTTTCGTTTCTAATTTTTGATTTTTGTTTTTCTTTTCGTTTTTCGTTTTTCGTTTTTGATTTTAAAACACTCTCTATTCACAACAAACTAACTTCAATGTTTTGATGACACACTCACACACAATCAACCTGTGCGCAACGCCGCTTCGCTTCGGCTATTCGCAAAATGATAATAGTCAACTGTTCCATACAGCAACCACAAGCGTGTCAACGATCAAAGAAGAAAAGTGTTTTGATTTATTATTATCGTGCATATTTAGTTTATATTAATCATTTACATTCCAATTTCAAATTCGCCGGGCGATTATGTCCTGAAAAATTTCTGCCTCACGGAAGAACAAAAAAAATAAATAACAATTCCTTCCTTATTATTTAATTGAAAAAACAAAAAAAAAACAAAAACAAAAAAACATATTTTATGATTAATAATCGCATTGTATTGTCATTTTGCTCATTCATTTCAAGTGTTTAGTTTTTATTATTGTTTTGTTTATTTATTTTGTTGGAAACAAAATGTGGCCCAATCATTTTCGGTTTCCATTAGTTTCGTTTAGTTTCGTTTCGCATGTTATGTTTTTTTTTTAATTGATTGATTTTTATATGTTTTGAACACGCCGATATTCAATCAACGAATAATATAAATTTATACACTCACACAATAAGAGAAATTTAACTAAAATTAAAACGAAATTTCGAACAAAAATATCATCATTACCGAAATGAAGCTATACGGAGATGGATCAAGCGATTATGATTCAGTTGCTGATGATGAGAGTTTAACGCAGATACCTCCACCACCATCCAAAAGTTTACTGCACATGTTTTGCCTTCCAATGAATTAAAAAAACAAACAAACAAATAACAAAGAAAAAACAACAACAACAACCAAAACAACTAACTTACAAACATTTAATAAACACTCACATATATATAAAGAGAAACATAAATACAAAAATGACCGTTTGAATTAGCAACATGAAACAGAACAAAAATGAAACCACAACACACAACACACACCACACAAAATATGATTATGATGTAATGGTTAATATAGTTGGATAGAGAGAAATTTCGTAGGGAGAAGTAAGAACATAAACAAAAAAATATAAAAAAGAAGAGAAAAAGAAAACTTTAAGGAAATGTGTGATAATGTCGCCATCGATATCATCCCCATGTACTTAATCAATGAATTTAAAGAAACTTTCTTTAAAATGAATCACAAAAGTAACTGAAATTTAAAATGTAGGTAACATTATTAATACTATTATTACAATTTACAAAACATGATTAAAATCAAGGGGTTAGAATCAAAGTTTTAAATAAAAGAGATGGCGACACCAATGAGCAAATTTATTGAACAAAAATCGAGAGAATAAAAAATACGACCGAGATTAAATGATAGTTGAAAAAATGATGGATGACAAACAAAAATGTCGACAATTCGATACTGAAAACTATTAAAAACTAGATCCATATGATATAAAATAATATATAAATTGTTAAATTGCACACTTTTATTTTCTAGTTGAGTTCGAACGTTAAATTCTATAAACATAAACGACAACAACATGAAACTAATTGAATTTTCTGTTTGCAGTCGCTAAAATTGTGTAATCAAAAGAAAAAAAAAATAATAATGAAAAAGCAAAAAACGAACGGCGCAAAGCGAAAGAAACGAATATTTTTTTTTAGATGAGTGAATGAGCGAACGCGCAATTTTACTAACTACTTCTCCTATTGAATTTTCCAACTCTAATTATATTTATTCTAAAAAGCTGTAATTGTCTCCTGATGCTGTGTGTTTGTCATATCCATTAAGAATATCAACATTTTCCGTGTCGAAAAAAAGTGACTAAGTCATTATTGATTGTAAGTGACTATAGTCGACTAAATTCATTAATTTTGACATTTTGTATGGAAAACAAGCGACTCTAGCCACTCAGTCGATTTTTTGGGACGGTTTGACTACTAGTATGTCGGGTGACTATGATTATTGTCAATTATAGTCAGCTGCTGTTGATTAGTTAACTAAATCTAACTAAAGTTGTTTATTTTTACAGTCAATAGTCAGCCCAATTTGTCCCAAAACCGTCAGTCACTTTTTTTTTGCACACGGATTTGTTTTCCTCAAACTCTTCCCCAAAAATTAAGATGACTACAGTCAATATAATTTGTTTTTACGAAAAACTATTTGCTTTTGAGTTTTCACGCAAATGGATTTTTGTCATTTTTATCGCATACACATACAAACACATCTTTTCAAAACTTCGTCCACATAAAGTGTTAACAAAAATGAACGTTTTTTTTAATGCACTAATATAATAATAGCCAAAAAAAACAAATGAAATTAAATTAAAACTATCATAACCGTAAATGGCGAAAATGTATTGGTCTAGAGACAAACGGTAAACATTTGTTTTATACTGTGTGATGAAATAAAGATGTGTTTTCGTTTTTTCTTTATTCAATTGAAAGCGAACAATAAATGTCTTCAGTGAAACTTGAGAATGAAATGAAATTTGGTCGAACTGTTGGAAATTTTTACAAATTACACCATATATGAATACTTGAACAGCAGTGATGGATATTTCACACTGCTGTAGTGCTCACAGTAGACTTTGTACACACACACACGCACATTCCATGTGCAACTTGTATTTATGCACGCAAGTTTATACAGAAGTTAGAATTTTCATTTCAATTTTTTTTAATGTCCATAAAATTCCAAATCCGTTCAACAAATAGAAAGTCCCATTGAAATTTTTTTTGTGACACAAACACACACACGTACCAAAACACACTCGAATAAATATTTATCGCTCAGGGATGTTATTAACATACGATCAATAACTAAATTACGTTTTTTTCGCATTTTGTGAAAACATCTGGCTTTTGAAATTTTCTGTAGTTTTCGTTTAACATTATATTCCTTCCGAATTGCAGTTTTGATTCTAACCCGTACAATTCGAATTGATCTATGTTCCAACAACGGATGAATAGAAAATGCACTTTTTTTTAATTCATATATTTCACAATTAAAAAAATAGTTCCGAAATTTTTCGTCACGCGCACAGAATTATATACTTTGATATGCGTCGAACGTAAAATAGATAGTTTTCATCTTGGCCAATAAATGACCGCCAGTCCGCATCCAATTGAATTGGAATTGAAAAAACGAAATCTACATAATTCCAAAATATTTGCTAAATCATTACAGTTGCTCTTTTTTTTCTCGTCGACCCAGATCTCTTCCTAAGGAAAAAAAAAACCAACAATCAATTATTTAAGTAGAACAAGCTAGAATTGTGTCATTCCAAGTTCAGTCGAACGCTTCTTCAAATGTATTATTCTAAAAGAAAAATCCTATGATTCTTATTGGATGGTCCTTTATATGTTGTTGTGTGTGAAAAAAAAAATGCAAGAATTTTTTTAAATGGTCGGAATTTTCGATGAACGATTTTGTTTTTGTTAGAAACAATTTTGAGAAATATGAATCGTACGTACGCAAAAGCAGCTAAAAAAAGAATAGAAAAATTACTTCCATATTTAGTGTTGTTTCTTTGTTTCGTCAAATTTGATGTCGTTTTGAATTTATAAATTGTTAGAACTTTAATTACATGTTGATAAACGCCATCCATACACATATCTGATCTGCGCTTTTCGCGATTGTTAATTGTTTGTATGTATTTCGTTTGTTCGTTCGATTTTTTGCTGACGAATTTCCAAGAGGGCTACCACATTTTATACATTTATTTAGTCACACATTTGATTTTGAGGCAATTAACAAAATAAATTAAAAAATATTGTACGCCCACCGTAGTGTTGCTTCTCTACTAATTTCATAATTATGTGAAACGTTTGGTCAGCAGCGCGCTATGGGTACCTCGACGCATTGCAAGAGGACCAACAGTATACGTTTTCAGTCGCTATTTAAGCATATACTTGGAAATTCAAAGTCTAGTGAATTATAATATTCGCAATAATGAAATAAATGAACGGTGACCGTTCAACGGTGTGAGCGACATTCATATACATATACATTCAAACAACTATATATTCCTTTCAAAGCAAGCACATAAACATCATACACTGTTCAGTATTTCAGAAATTTAAATGAAAAACAAAACCTATTCCAATGCACTTTAGATTGAAATTTAAAAGTAAAAAAATTTATCTAATGTTCGAATCATGAAAGCAAAAAAATAAGCATAGCTAAAATCAATCACAGAACCACACACGCAAAAAAATATTGAACAAGAAGCTAACGATTTTTTAAATGAAGAAAATTAAACAAAAATGTAGACTTCGGTTTTCGGTATAGTTGCACACAAAAATTAATCTAAACATTTAATTTAACGCCGAAATGAACATTTAAAACTAAAATGAAAGGACTTACTGTAAAAAAAACCAACAAAGACAATTAAGTAAGAAAGTGCGAATCGTAAAAAAGGAAAATAAACATTTTATTTAGAGAAATGAACAAAACTTTTGATAGTTTGAAAGAACAGAAAGACGCTCGAGAGAGAAAGTAAGAGACAAAAAACGGCGACTGTACTTGAAAAGAAATCAAAGATTTAAAAAAAGATGAATCAAACAGTAAATATAAACTTAATTAAAAATGAAAAGAAGTGAACGGAGAAAATACACAGCCAGAAAAAGAAAATAGAAGAGAAAAAAATGATTTATTGATTATTATGAATTATTATACTGACACTATTATTATGATTATTATTAAACAATATTCAACAAGTAAATTTACGAGCAGCCGAGTCGAGTAAACAAACGATTTGCTCGGCTTGAAAATTTAACAGTGAAAAATTATTATGTGACAAACAAAAATGCGCACCGTAATTCAAATAAAAATTATTATTTAATTACAAACAAAAATGTATTGTTGTTTATCTTTTTTACAAATTGAAGTTTTTTTTAGTCGGAAATCGAATGTTCTCAAAACGGTTACTGAGATGTTGATATTTAATTACAGACTTGATATCATGTTTTATGAAATTGTCGGATTACTTTCGGAAACCACGGTAAGTGATAAATGTAGTCTGATTATGTTTCATTTCTTCGCTTTATATCTTCATTATTTCAGTCATTTTAACTGCTTACTTCCTGACTATTTTGATAAAAAATCCCAATGTTCGTTGCGTCATTTTACAAATTCTTCCATACTTACAAAAATATGCAATGCAAAACTGCGTATTTTTGGCAGTTGAAATATGGTTGTTTCAACGAGCAGAACGTACAATTTTGATGAAAATTAATTCGAGAGCAAAATGCATTTTTTCTTAAATAAAGCCAATTATTTCGTTTTATTATTGATTTGTGTCCGATTAAGTACCCAAAATAAAAGAGTTAAACGAATTGTGGGTGGAATAAAAGCCGCACAACCACCACCAGATGATCCAGTCGTATTTACACATCTATACAGTCATGATGCTCGCATTGAAGGATATCGGTAATTTGAAAAATAAGCTCCTTTGAAGATTTATTTGGTGGTTGCTCTTTTTGGTGACGTTATTAATTTCATAATGTTTTCCATGTGTGTCGAAAAAGTAATGCTAATGGTTTATATTCATTTTTGGCGATTCCGTTTGCCTATCCGCCAATCGGTAATGATCGCTTTCGACGTCCCCGTTTCAAGGTATATTGAGTAGACTCCAATGTCGATTTAATATCTTTACATAATGCTAACATTTGTATGGTAGCGACTGGAAGGAGATTTCAATGCAACCACTTATGGCAGCCCATGTCCTCAGCCCGATTCCGAAGGATATATCGTTGGTTCGGAAGATTGTTTGTGGCTCAATGTCTATACGCCGCAAATGCCAGATGAGACAACTGGCTTGCCAGTTATTCTGTGGATACATGGTGGTGGTTATCGTTATGGTTCAGCTAACCAATATACAGTAATAATCACTTCATTGATACGAACAAAAAGAAGAAACATATATAATTAAATGTGATTTTATTATTTCGCCAAGGCCGAGTCGCTTACATCAAAGAGTGTGATTTTTGTACCGATTCAATATCGATTGGGTTCGCTAGGATTTTTGGGCGATGGAACTACTGAATTTTCTGGAAATGCAGCGCTTTTTGACATGGCTACTGCTCTACGGTGGGTTCATGAGTATATTCAATTTTTTGGTGGTGATCCCAAACAGATAGTGGTCATGGGACAAGGAAGTGGAGCACAAGCGGCCACCTATTTAACAACAACACAACGTTCATCACGTGAAATGGTCAGTGGGGTGGTTGCTATGTCCGGGTCACCCTATGCACCGAGTGCGGTCGACAATACGCCAATGCAAACATCCAAAGAAATTTTAGCAATAAATAATTGTCAGAAAGAAAATGAAACCGAAATTGTTAAATGTATGAGAAATGTAAGTATATTTTCTTGGGAGAATGTTTCAAGAGAATGTATTTTAAATAATGTTTGAATTCATTTTCATTTGCATTGAAAAGAGAAACTTTGAAGATATAATTCGAGATGATTCAAAAGTTCAAGTTGAACGATTACAAGGACAAAAAGTGGTTCGATCGATGAACGGAAATGTTGGTTATGAACCATTAATTGAAGGCAAAGACGATCAACGTTCACTGCCGAAATTTTTAGAAGAGGATCCTCGATATGTTATCGGAAATGGTACATTCAAAAAAGTGCCATTACTCACCGGCGTCACACGTGACGAAACCGCCAATGCCATTGATATTAAAAATATTGAGAAAATTTTCACAACGACAACCAAATTTTTGGAGTCCGTGGCCAATGCAATGATGAAAAATGGTTTGCTTGGAAAAGCTATTAATACTCATTTACCCGGTGTTGGTGAGAACCTTTTTCTACCTTTTTTTTTATTACTTTTCACCGTCGACCTTTACAGCCATCGAATTTTGAACATTTTTTTTTTCAAACCATTTTTATTTGTGTTTTATAGAAAAAGTGTTATCGCTCAGTGAATATCTAAAAGTGCCGGATAAATTCAATGTAATGCAGATAATGACAAAATTAACGGAAGCAACAACAGATGCTTTATTTAATTTACCAGCCATTTTAACAGCACAAACATGGACCAAAGTGGCACCGGCTTATTTATATAGTTTTGAACACATCGGACAGAGCAGTAATCGTGGTTCGACATTTTTGGCCGGTCTTCCAATAGTCGGCAATAAACCTGCGAATAACACAGTTGCACATGGCGATGAATTGGCCTATTTATTTGATCCTCGTGACATTTTTGGCAAACAATTGAACAATTTAAAACCATTAGATGAAACGGATAAAAAAGTTCGTGACATCTTTTCAAATATAATAACTCAATTTGCTTACTTGAACAGTGGTCAAGGTGTAAAAAATAAAGGCACATTTCAAGAATTTTTATCCGAACAGAATAATTTCATTCGCATTGGACAAGAGGCAATTTTAAGCAAAGATTTCCGGTACGAATGCAATAAAAGTTAAATTCTCTGGTGGTCACTCTGGTATTAATGAAATTTCGAAAATAATCTCTTCCTCACTAGCTTCTGTCAAATGGCATTATGGGGTGCACTTGTGAAACCATCGTCAAAAGAAACGTCTTGTAAACATATTTTGAATCAATTGACCTCATCTTTACTAACAGCGACTGGAAATTTAACGACATCCGTTGGAAACACACTGAGTAATCCATTGGGAATTTTGAATTTAGGTGCGAAAAAGAATGCAACTACTTCCGTTCCATCAAAAAGTGGTGGTATTCAAGAAAGTCATGTTGGAAGTTCATCGAACAAAAAACCAGGTGCAACATCACAAAAAGGGGGAGGTGGCGGTTTACTTGGTGTACTTTGGATGCAGAAATAACCTTTATTCTGTATATGCTTTTGCATCGTAAAAATTTGAATTAGTTTTTCCACAAAAATTGTTGTGTGACTCCATTCTTTTATGTATTTGTGATTGATTGAGTAAAAAAAGTGAATTTTTAAAAATAAAAACCCCAAAGTCTTTTTATTTCAATAAAAATTGAGTAATATACATCAGAAACGCATTGTAACGCATATGTGTGCGTTTGCGTTGAGTGAGTTATATGATCTCAGCATGTGTGCGTAACAAACACATGGAAACACACATTCATGTGATTCGGTCGGTAAAAAGTGACAAGCGATCTGTCAATGGCAATGTCAAAGCATGTTTATGTTTCATTTAACCACAAAATTGTGTTTCATTGCCACTGAATCAATGAAAATTTAAGTTCAACTTTTTATGGTTAGTTCTATATTGTACTGTTGCAGAAAAGATGGCAAATATTTTGATAAGTGATGCTGAGAAAACGTTCATTTTACATGGTGTCGAAGATAATTTACGTTGTGATGGTCGAACCCGTTGTGATTACCGTCCCATGGAAATTGAAACGGCCATTGTTACACATGCAAATGGATCATGCCGGTTGAGATTGGCAAATACCGATGTTTTGGTCGCCGTTAAATCTGAAATCGATATTCCACCATTGGAGAATCCAGACGAAGGAAAAATTGTGTTCTTTGTTGATTGTTCAGCAAACGCAGCACCAGAATTTGAAGGCCGTGGCGGTGAAGAATTGGCGATGGAATTTTCAAATACACTCGAAAGTGCATATCGCTCAAGACAGGCATTCAATTTGAAAAATCTTTGTATTCTGCCACAACAACGATGCTGGAAACTCTATGTTGATGTGCTGGTAAATTATTTTATTTCAAATTTTCAATTAAATTTTCATTTTTATTTTCAATTTCAAATCATATTTTTGGAAATTTTTAGATTTTAGAATGTGGTGGAAATCTATACGATGCAGTCTCGCTAGCAGTTAAGGGAGCCTTATTTAATACACGATTACCGAAAGTCACTGCAGCACTTATGGATGGTGGCAATGTGGATTTGGCTCTTTCTGAAGATCCATACGACTGTGTTCGATTGCAAGTGGAATCGATTCCAATTTTGGTGACAATTTGTAAAATTGGCGAACATTGCGTCGTTGATCCATCGGCTGAAGAAGAAGTATGCAGTTCGGCCAGTTTGGTGGTTGGGGTCTCAGTACGCGAAGAGAATGGTGGGTGTAATTTTTAATTGATTTATTTGAAACAAACATTTTTTTAGTCATGCAATCTGATGTTTTTTTTATCCATTCCAGCTTACATTACAAATATGCGAACAAGTGGTGCTGGTTCATTCCATATGGAAACATTAAATAAGTGTCTTGAGCTAGGAAAGTCAGCTGGACAATGTTTGGATCGAGTATTATTGCGAGTGCTTCGTGAAGAGGAACAAAAAATCGGCAATCGACCGATTGGCCAAACCGAAATTTTCGGCTTTCTCCGATAAACAAAAAAAAAAAAGAACTGTTCGACACTATCTTTAAGATTATTTTTATAGCACAAATCCGCATAAAACAAATTAATTAAATCCAAAATTGGTTTTAATGGTTTTTTCAAATCTTTTTCTTTTATTATAAAAAACATAGCTCATTTCTTAAATCTCTTCCTATTTTTTGTGTCAACATTTTATTGCTCTCACATCTGGTTTCAGTCTCAACATTACAAAAATAGACAATTCGTTTCACGTTTCATTTTTCCATTTTGTTGTTGTTTGTTCCAACCGGTTCACTACATGGTCTTAGGCTAATTTCCCTCTTCACAATTGCTTTTCGATGGATTTTTTTGTTCATTAATTTAAAAACAAATACTAGATTTATTTATAATATTATTTGGCTATCGCATATACATGAAGGAATCTGAACTGAAGGCAAAATAATGCAAAAAAAAAAATCATTGAAGAAATGTTATGACGTCGGTTTTTTTAACTTCTATCTTTTAATAAGCGTATTAAGGTTGAATCTACGTGCGATTATTTGAAAACTAAGCCTATAATTTGTTATGGGATGGGTACCATCTATATTTGTTCCATTTAAATATTCACAGGATGATGTCGTCGCTTCATTTTCCAGAACTTTCGATAGAGAATCTCCGGCAACCAAATTATAATCACAATTATAAGCAAAATATTTTGTACATGCAAGCAAATCGAATAACTACCAGTGTAATCTCGTATCCAACCTATAAAAAGACGGCAAGAATTCAAAAAAAACCTCAAATACAAACCCAATCAAGTGAGAGAATTAAATGAAAAATTCATACCAAGAAATTGGCCCAGAGTCATAACAAAAACTCCTTTCATTATCATGGTTAAGCTTAATGCACTGGCCAACTTATCCTGTGATGTATATTCTGATATGGTCAAATTTTGATTGACCACCGTTGCAGCGCGTACATATCCATACAGTGCCGACATTATTATTAAACTAGTTCGATTGGTTGTTTCTGCTAAAATAGCTCGTGTTAGTGTCAATAGCATGGCACCAATTAAGAAAATTACACGACATGACAATTTCAATTTATCGGTTATCGTTGGCAATGTCAGGCGAGAGGCTAAATCAAATGTTGCTAAAATGAAATCAGAAGCGGTCGTTAATTTTAAATTGAATTTTATTCTCATCGAACACAAAAGATCTTACCTAACACTGACATGCACAAGGCACAATCACTACGGCTTAAACCGCCCTCTTCCTAATTATGTCAAAATAACGTCCGCTTCAATTATTTGATTCTTTATTTTGTCATGGAGAAAATGTGTAGTACTCACTTGAAGAAAGTATGGGAAGAGCATGGAAAAATTGATCGATGCTGTATATGCCAAACTTAAACCAATGGCAATAGATACAAACTGTAGATCACACATTAAATTCAAATCAAACGCTTTGGAGATGCGTTGTTTCCATGTCGGTTGTTTGATGAGGACGGCACCGCTATCAATACTGATCGTATCACTGTTCAAAATCTGTTTACTATCACCATCATCATCGTCGTATTCAGCGTCGGTTGTCATCACTTCGTGGTACGTATGCTTGTTGGCATTGTGTCGACATGGATGCAGTAACATTTTCTTTTCACTGAAACCACTCTTTCGTTTCATATGCCATTCAATGGGTTGAAAGAATGATGCTCCAATCAAACCGTGAAATGCTAACGCACCCATTAGCAATGCAGCACCTCTAAATCCATACTCATCCAGCAAAATTCGTACCACATTTGGCATGATCTGAAATCAAAGTTTTATGTAAAATTAAGGAAGAAAAAGCACAGCCATTGAAAAGTCGAATTAAAGGCTATTTGTTTTGCAAAACACACCATTTGACCCAAGCCAGTACCTTTGAACGAAATACAATTTTTGAAATTAGATTTTGAAGCAAAATATTTTCATTGTTATTTCTCACCCGCAAGAGCCAGCCCAATAGCTCTTCCGCGTTTCGTACTGAAGTACGAATTGACCGCAATAAATGACGATGGATTTATGAAACCAAGACCAAGCCCTTCAATTTAATTGCAAACAAAATCACTTCTATATTACATAAATCGTAATTTTATTTTGAATTACATACCAACAAGTCCATAGGCAATAATTATTTGCCATAATTGATTTGACATTGAACTTAAAATCAAACCAAACCCCGATAAGAGGCTTCCAATCGCTGCCACAACTCTGGGTCGGAACCTTTTTAGCGCTGGTCCCGTTATTAAACCTGTGTGACAACATTTTCAAATTCGCTTTAGTTTTTTCAAATCTTTCGAAATAATTTTGGTTGAAAGATTTGTGTAAATTTATTTACCCGAAAAATTTAACGCAACACTATTTATGTTCATGACCAAAGCCGCTCCAACTGTGCCCTGGCCCATGTTTTGTAAATGCTCACCTATTTCGATTTGAAACAAACATGAATATGTATGTAAAGTTGAATTAAGTGTTTACAATAAGAAAAAAGCTCTCACCATAGAGTAATCCAAAGACACTGACCAAACTTTGATTGAATACATTGGTAAGCGCCGTACCAAACACTGAAAATAAACAGATTAATTGATTTGAAATAAATTGGTAGTGGCCATGTATCGTACCGACAAGCCATCCAAAACCGCCATTGGGAACAAGAGAATTTCGATGCAACGATGATGATGACGATGACATCACACAGTTCTCTTACACACTATAATTTCTATTGCATTAATTGTCAGGTGAACATCTTTTCACCAGACGGCAAACTGACTAGTATATGAATGGTGTGTGTGTGTGTGTGTGTGTATTTGGCTTGTTATATTCCACAGTTACGGTTGATGTTTTACTAAAAAATTGTACAACTGAAAGAAAAAAAAAGCGAAAGAAAAAACCTGTCAACTTTCGGCTATGTCTGGTTTACTGCTTTCTTCGAAAATAAAAACTGCGTGACTAGAACGATCAACAATTTGCGAATAAGAAATGTTATAAACTTTTATGTAAACTGTGTGCGTGTGACGCAAGAGAAAAGCCCAAATAAATTTTGTTGTTATTTCGTTGGTTTGGTTTCGTTTGCTTTGTTCAATTACAAAATGTTTTGGTGGCATAAATCGCGTAAGAAGAATGTTATTTTATTTGTCTTTATAATTCAGCAGAAAGAAAAAAATATGTATAAAAATTACGCAATAAACGAACGCGTATTTTTGTCGGTTGATTATGTGATAGTACTCAATATTTATATGTGCATGTTACTTGACCGAGATACTGAAATCTATTTGCACAATAGAATCTATTTTGCCTGTAATATAAAACCAATTCAATTAATTGATTGGCAAATCGATATTGGCATCGCTGAGTATGGAAAATAAAAATAGACTAAAATATGCAGCACTATTGATTGAGTGCGATATTGTGACTATGATACACCGAACAAGGTTCTTTGTTGTTGATTTTGCCAACAGTTTTCCATTCGATACGTAGGTAATTAAACTTTTGATTGCGGAATTCGATCTTTTTTTTTTGTTTATTTTATCAAATTCCAAGCAAACCTATGTAGTATGGGTTCTTATATCCTTGTATCTACATACCATTGTACCTATGGTTCTGTGTCTAATTACGACTATTGCAAAAATTTAGTTAAAAATGTAAATGTTAATTATTTCGTATCTCTCTTTCCGTCTTTTTCTCTAACTCTCGATGACAAAACATGAGACAATGTTGAATATCATCGATTTGGTGCAATTATTCTGGAAAATATTAACTGTGTGTATGAAAGAAAAAAATGCTACGATGTTCTTATTTTCTGAATTCATTTGAAAATACATACACACACCGTTTTTAATGTATCCATTAAAATAGGGCAACTTTTTCCATTGATATTTTTAAACTTTGTGTAAAAGTCAGCAGCTGCCATCCACTTCTGTGCTGATATATATATATATAATCAAACACGCGAACACTTCAGATACATTTTTAATGAATATCTTTTTAAAAAAAACTGTTATAGCATTTATGATTTGTGTAATCAAACGGAGCAGACAATGAACTGTCAATAATTGAGTAATTTTTTATTTTAAAATCAGAAATGTGCGCTGAAACTGTAGAATTGCGCAAAAAATGCAGAAAATAATGAGAACGAAACCAACTTACGTCTGTACTTCCTGCCACAGAGATGTGGCGTGAAATGTTGATGGAAAAAAATTACTATTTACTTTGACCCATAGCACACTCAATTTTTAATCTATTTTTTTTTCTCTGTTCCATATGATAAACGCGTATATTATCATTTATATTGATTGCGAAGTACACACTTGAAATGAATGACTAAAATCACGAGTTATATCACGCGTTTATAGACATTGGCGCAGTTCCTCACTCAATCGCCCTTATTATTTTGCAAGTCAATAATGGTCTTGATGACACATACTTTGTCGATCGAGATCCTAAATAACAATAACTGAACTATGAAACGTAAATAAAAGCCATACCTTACGTGTGTTACTCCAAACGAAACCAAAAAAACAATACCCAAAAGACCGTTGCGATCGACTTGGCGAGATATATGAAATAGTTTTCGTCGTATGGTGTTGTTGTTTTTTTTATTGAACGTCAGTGCTTTGCGATTGGAAACTTCTTATCTCTTTTATCCGGGCAAACGTGAATTTCCCAGACACATTTTGTTTGGTCGTGTCATCGATTTTGCTCAATCGATTTATTATTTGTTATGCATTGATAGTGTTACAAATAAACTGCTGTGACTATCTTTGATATTAACACGTATCGCTTTTTCACCCTAAACTATGTGTTTTTTTTGTGGATTTAGTCGATTCTATTTTCGTTGGTTTGTTTGCAATTCAAACACACAACGCACTGATTATACAAACGAAGAACAACAAAAAAATCCAATAGAACTTAATGGATTTGTTTGATGTAAAGTTGTTGTTACCTGCTACGTGTTGACATTTTGCCTGTGATCTCTCTTTACTTGGTCTCGTGTGAATTTCCAATACAGAACGAATTCCGAATGGAAAAATATCGGCCAATTCACATTGACATTCTAGCACACGAAAAGGGGAGCACTACACACATTTGTTGACGCATTTATGCGCATGTTCATATTGTTTCCAGGGAGCCACGAGGTTGAAATAATAGTTTTTGGCGCGACTTTTCTAAAAAAAAAACAAGAGAGAGTATGAATTTTACTTCAATTAATATGTGCAACACATGTGAACCCGTAAAAAATTAACTTAAACGACTTTTCATTACGTCTACCGTATTTTATTTTGTTGAATTCGTTGGAAAACGAAAATAAAAGAGAATTTTAAAAAATTGAATTGTTAATAAAAGTGTACGCGATATCGTCATTAAATAATAAAATCATATGACGGACGTATTTGCAATAAATTCAATTTAATTTCAAGCAAATTTTATCAACATTGATTTTAAACCATTTATAATAAGAAAAACATTAAGAAAAATATCGTGTTTTCATTTCGATCAAATTTGAATGCAAAATTATTTATTTTTTGAATGAAAACGCCATCTGAATAAAAGCGATTTCATCGTAAAAAAATGTTTATGTTTTGGTGGCGCTAGTTGTAAAATGTGTGGCTTTGTATTTCAAAAGTTTTTTTTTGTATTTCATTGAGAAGTCCAAACTCAGATGGCGTTCGAATGTTCTTTGCGCATCGTTGTGTTTGTGCATCATTTAAGAGACCACGTAATGCCGCTACCACATATTTATGACACAACAACGACGACGACGACCGTTCACAATTCAAAAAAAAAAAAAAATTAAACGTACGCGCACGTATGCGCCGCATGTTGTTGTGTGTATTGTTGCGTATGTGTGTATGTGTGTTTTGAGCTCAACATACATATTTATTGTATAGTGTGTTGTGTATTATTTTTTTTGTGTATTTCTCCTATTTGGTCGGAGAGCGCGAGATACCGCAATGGCCTAGCACTGATGCGAGGAGGAAAAGCATTTGCTGACGAAAAGTTCGTGTATACGTACGACACACGAAAAATGGCGTTCGATTGATTTGGCAGTGTAGTTTTCACAACAGCAGCAACCGTATAGTATTTGTGTGTTCCGCGCGCTGTGTCTAACCAATTTCTAATGCTTTATTTTCTGACTTGATTTTTATTTTTCGCGTTTTGTTTCGTTTTGTTTATTATTTTTCATCTCACAAAAAAATATATCCATACGAAAAAAAGGAACAGATGAGAGAAATAGAAACGAAACGTTTTGTAGAGACCAACAACAAAAACAACAACAAAAATATATCATTATAATTCAAAAGTAAATCTAAGTGGAAAATTTACAAACGGTGTGCGTGTGTATTTTAAATACGAGGGAGGAAAAATATTTAAACAGATTTCAAAGTGCAGCTAAAGAGTGTCTAGATGAATTGAGCGAGAGAAGTGAAAGAAAAATGTTAGCTACCAAAACAAATCATAGCCCGCCCAGTGGATTAATCCGTGTGCAATCTTAATTTTGAATGAAGAAGAAGAGAGAGAGAAAAAAACAACAAACAGTGTTTTATTAGCAGACGACACAAGCGAATAAATCCGGGCATTTAACATTACATTTGATTTGTGAGCAGCACTGAAGAAATACACGGGCAAACGATTGCAGCTAAATTATTCAAAACAAATTACCACTCATTACATGTGAACTGAAAAGAGCGAAAGAGAGCAAAAAGAACAAATCTCGCGCGCGTGGTTTGTATTTTGATAAAATTCAAGTGAAAGGAATAGAGAAAAAAATTACAAGAGTGAAAAAGAAGAAAATTTAACCACATTGCTTATGGATTTCGTGTTTATTTGGAGAAAACAATATTAGCGGTAATTTGTGAAATAGATATATAAACGATGAAATAATTAAAAATCGTTTTTTATCTACGAAATTTTTTGTGCAAATAAGAAGAAGAAGAAGAAAAACATTGCAAACGAATTCGATTTGTACAAAATTCGCAATTCGCAATACATAGTTAATTGATGGAAAGTGAAAATAAGACACAATAACGTTGAGAAAAAGAGGCGAAAATCGTCATTTAACAATATCCCAACACGGCACCGATTCGATGGTGATTTGAGTAAAATCGAGGAGAAGAAGAAGAAGGAGAAAAAGAAAGAATATCAGAAAAACACAAACAATAACGACGAAGAGTGAGAAAGAGCCTAAATTTCGAATAATCTACAACAACAACAACAACAAAAAATCGGCTACTTTAATACACATATTTTCGTGGATTTGGATTGAGTGAAGCGTGCATGAAGCAGTTAGCAGCAGAAGCCGTGCGCGTTTCATTGAAAATGCTTTCCCTCGTCTGAATGGAAGCAATTTCGTACACGGAAACCAATTAACCAAACTTGTATTTATGATTGAATCGTATCAGAAAATCACAACATCACCAACAACAACAACAAATCATCACTTAAATAACAAAAAAAAAATCTGTGTGAGTAACTCTCTCATACTCCTGAGTAAGTTTGTTGTGTTTTGGTGTGTTTCTTCTTCGTGCCGAAGCAGAATAAGAGAAGATACGTATATGTGAATATATACATATAAATATATATATATGTTGATGTGTTCAATGTGTTATTATCGTTCAATGTATTTGTGAGTGCTTTTCCATTCCTGTGTATTTACTACTTTATTTATAAACAATGCCGAATGAAGATCAAAAAGACCATATGAGCCATCAACCACAGCAAAAGCAGCAACAGCAGCAACAGCAGCAGCATCAAGAGAAAGATGCAAAAATCGCGGCAAACGTAAATGCCATGCCAAAATCGATCATTAGTAATGAATTTGCCAATGTTACAAATGCATTTAAGGAGAAGAAAAAACTCGTTCGACGCGCATTTTCAATGCCAAGAAATTTATTCCGTTTATCGCGTCGTATAAAAGTTAGTAATTCGGCCACAGCTGCGAAAATTTCACCACCATCAACAATGTCACCGGTCACCGATGTAAATACATCAATCGTAACGTCGAATAATTGCAATCAATCGGTACAAACAAATTCCAACGAAAACAACGTCGACGAACATAGCAATACGGAATGTAGCAAACATCGAACGTTACCAGTGTCAACGTCATCGTCAATGATGTCACATTCGGATCCAAACCACCAACAACATCAGCCGAAGCAGACACAGCAGCAGCAGCAACCACAGCAACATCAATCCGATGCCAAACCAAAATGCCTAGAGCAAGAAAATAAACATCGTTTATTCCGTCGTTCTACATGGAAGAAGTTCCTATTCTCCCGATTCATCCTACAATCAATTAATCTCAAGGTAATTTTTGGTTGAACATTTTTTACTTCCTTCTAACACTCCCACCCGTTATTATTTGTCTTACACGTTTGCAAAATCTATTTCGTTTTACGAACGGAATTCATCATTTTGTACTATACAGTAATAGTCCATATATACATCGCGATTGCCAATTGATGTTTGTTTCGTGTACAAAATGTGCACCTCTCGCTCAATAACTCTCTAATTGAATCAAAAACTTTGTCGAAAACACTTCCGGCAGTGAATCAATTGCAATATTGGTTTGCCGTCGCCGTCGCTGTCGTGTCCTATTCGTGACTATTTCATGAAATGTTTGCCATCGTACACACACATTGACTCTTTCTACCTCTCTCAGTCCAACTAATCATATTTTTTTTTTCGCCGATAAATTCCAGACTTTATCAGAGCGTCTGACTATTACTGTATTGCTATCGCGCTCGATTTTACCGATTAAAATTTGATTTATTTACATAGTAATTGAGTGTATTGCATGTTAAGCGATGAGAAATAGATAGAAAGAGCTGGCGTTAGTGGGGGGTTTCTCTCTCTCTAACATTGTTGTTGTTTTTACTGCCGTCAATTAACACTTAGTGCAATTTTACTCGTGATCCGCCACCGCAATAAACTCTTCCGTCGTCAGTTTTCTCTGTGATCAGAGATGTGCCAGTAATGTTGTTGCTGCATTTTGATCAACTATTTCTATCGAGTTGATAAAATGACGTCGATGAACTCAGACACTAAAAATTACATTGAAACGTGTGCTGTGCTCCAATTTCCAACGGCGATAGAGTGAGAGACAATACGCTTACCCATCTCTATTATTTCATTTCACTCTATCACCATCATTTTCTAAAAATAGTTCATTCATTTTTCTTACATTTTCCACGTCAAATCGAAACACAATACACTGAAATTGTTCTTAACATTGATGAACCAAATAATAAAATAAAAAGAAAACAAGAAAAAAAATGATTGTGGATTATTTTCGTTCGAGAAACATTTATTCTTTATCATATTTTTCTTTTTATTTTGCACACTAACTAGAAACTGAGATAGATACAATGTGCTACAATAAACAGCATCGAATAAAAGCCCTAGATTCCGTGTGATCCAGTTACATTTGGGGTCATCTTTGTGTGTCGTGTGTGTCCAATTAGTTTTAGTTTTTCAATATGCAAATGCACATTAAACCAATTCAAAATGATACAATTCAACACATATTGATTACGTGGTTGCGTCAAACTTTCCTATCCCCATTTGCTTGCAAATTATTTTGTTCTCTTTTTTTTTTTTGTCTCAACTTTTGGGCGAAAAGTTTCAAATTGAATTTAAAATACGCGATTTGAATATTGAGACGAAAAAAAAAATGTGTCTCTTTGTATGCAAATGTGTGTTTTTCGGTCGGTCATTCACAACGATATTTGAAACGTTAGACTAGACATTAGAATGGAAAATAAATCGTCTATTAAAATCTTTAGTTTCGGTGTCTGTTGTTGATACGTGCCAAAATAATGAACCACATACATGCCACAAAAATTGAGTCAGCATATGCAATTATTGTATATCTGTGGGGCTGACGATATGCATTTCGATTTTGTGCAACGCATACAAATTTTAAATGTATGTGGTCATTGACGGATAACCAACGTTGACCGAAACTTATCAACATGAACACGTTGTTACACACACATACATTTCGAGTGCAATTTTCAATAAATGAAACATCGAACACGGTCACACACAAAATATATGCATCAACTATTTTAAACTTGTTATCAACGGCCGGAGAGAGACAGAGTTAACATTATACCAGATTTGTGTATGTGTATAATGCACACGTTCAACTTATCTTGTTCCAAATTCAATATCGGCCGAATCCGTCTGTGAAACTGATTCACTTTATCAATATGTACTATCGCGTTGCAAAGTGAGTTTTTTTCAAAGACTTTGCCTTGCATTCACGCTTAACACTTTTCTCTGAATATGCCGTTTAAATAACGATTTGACTTTGGAATTTCCAGAATGATGTAGTCACACTACAAATAAAATAACAAAACTTTTGGACAAGTTGTTGTTCTCTTTTTCTTTCTCTATCTCTCTCTGTCTCTTTGTACCGATGACATAATGAAAATAACAACGACAAATAAATGCAACGCAAAAGATAAACAGAACAATAATTTAACACAAAAAACAACACATACTAACCTTGGCCCTGTACGGATATGTAGTATATCAATAAAAGATATCAAATTTGTGTTCACAAACACGGAAAAAGAAGTGTAAAATAATTGCTTACTTATAGTTTTTAATTTTGTCGTATCTTTTGTCATCGGCGGGTTTCCTTGAGACAGAGATACCGAGAATACATATAGAGATGTGGGAGCGCTATGCGTGTCGGTCTCCCTGACGAACCGAACATGTATTTGTACGATAATAGAATAATTTATTCAACAAAAAGATACATACACACTCACACACACATACCAATAGCCCATGAAATATGTACGACGAAAACAGCTGTTTGAATCAGTTTACCTCGCAATGTGCAACGAAGAAAAAAATAAAGAGTATACAAATTGCATGTGTTTGCACACATTACAAATTGAATGAAAGAACAAAGTATATAGTAATGAGGATCATTTTCATCAAGTACGAATGTTACACGCGTTTCGTCTTGTTTTCAACAAAAAAAAAAACAAACAAACAAACAAACACTTGTTAAGGAGATTTACGCGAGCCAAGAATATAGCAAAAATAAAATTAACAACAGCATGCACGTCAAAGACATTGCATTCATCAACATCACATGAATGAAGTGACGCACCAGCACTCGCAAGCCTATTGAGAGAAATGAATATATTCGGTTTATCCGTTAATTGTGCAAATCGACGAGAAACCAAAAAATATATATATATGTGTACGCACAGTGCAAAATGAATAAAGCGAGAAAAATTGGCACGTACACATACAATTTGCATTAAATGGGCGCGCGAAGGTGTTATAACACATTTGTCTTAAATATATATATAGCACGCATGGCAATGCGTTGACATAGAAATTTCATTGGAGCTTAAATTATGTGTTACACTGCGTACTCGATGAGCTCATCATCTGAGCTCTCATTTTTATTCCTTTATCTCTATCTCGATCTCATGCCGATCACACAATTTGTCGTGTACGGTTGTTGTTGTCACTACCGCCGCTGCTGCTGCTGCTACTGTACTTTTATATAAACTCTTTTTTTTATCAATTTGTGTTATAGCTCTCTGTTGTTTCATTCATTTCTCTATTCTTGTCTCATTTTGCACGGATAGAAAATGATAATAAGAGAAGCAGAGAAGAAAAAAATGGTTTTATGTTGTATTGAGTTCACTTAGAAACTCGTCGCACTCCTTCACGTAACTTTAGTTCTGGTCTATTTTTATTTTCGAGCTTGCTTCTTTCTCAATCTCTCTCTCTTTTTCTTTCACTCTCACTCGTTGCGTTGTTGTTGATATCATTGCTTCTGGTTTCAATTCGCATTGTAAGTAGTGTAATTCATTCACTTTGCTGGTAAAAGAGAAAAACAAAGCACTGTTGACACGCAAACAATGACACGGTTAAACAAAACGATTGTGTCGCGAACAGCAACAGCAGGAGCACCAGCAATAATACACAATATAAAAGCGAGAAACGAATTGAAAAAACGTTACTTACTTTTTTCAGTGAAATAGAACTGAATCGAATTGAATATAAAAAAAATAATGAAGAATGGAAATTCGCATATAATAAATGTCATGTCATTGCGATACATATAAACAATTGTGATTGTGTGCTCAAATTTCAATTGCCAAGTTCGAGTCTTGGGCTCGCGCGATTCAATTCCATAACAAATGTGTACTCATGAACACTTCATAACGCAAATATTTGTCCGTACATTTATATATATATTTGCGTATGGCGATCGCAAAAGCGGTCACATGTGTGCGCGTGTGTTTGTGTGAAAGAAAAGATTGTGTACACATATTTATTATTTGGTAAAGTTAGTTTGGCGACTTAAATAGCAATTATTCCGTTCACATTTTGGAGGTATATATTTATTTATTCGCACATGTCACTGCTGTGATCATTGTCACACAGTGAATGAAAAAAAAAAGAGAAACGGAATAAGACAAAGAGCGAAAATATAAATTTTAAATACATTACTGAAAACGACCATAAAAGCAAATAACATTTTCGTTGATCTTATTACCCGTTTATTCGTACGCACGCATGTTTCTAATTTGAATAAGATTCGCTTTCAAATCTTTTATATCAGTTACCGACTCTCTCAAGTGTGCTTGGAAAAGTCATTCTGATTCTATTTATTAGATGTGTGCATAGTTTCGGCTTATATCACCAAGATATAATATCCCGCGGACAAACATCCGAATAAAAAACACGGATCTGTTAAGTTTGCGCTCTTAAAAAAAAACAGAGAACGTATGTCGCATGACAACAAACGACAAAATTGCTAACTACCGAATGTGATAACTTCATCGAACTACAAATGTGCCACCAATTATGGTCGTTCGAACTGCGCGCACGAACACTCATTGGACTGTCATACGACACCCAATTTTGGTGTTCGATATCATACGGACGGTACGATAGAATATTATGCGCCAGCAAACATTAGCGATTCAATCAAAAACCGAAAGGTGTGTACACAAATCGAAGACGAAAATCACATTCTACCTTCGTTTTAATTACGGTCGATTTTGGCGTCAAATTTCCATCTAGGGTTGAATAATCCACTTAAATTAAGTCTTCGCGATACTTGAGAAAAATTGAGTGATATTGTTTCTTTTACGCTCTTGCTTCGATCGAATAACCCTTGTCGGATATTCATCAAGGTTAAAATGAGAACGCAACACATAACAAGAGAGTACAATTTTTGTATTTTGCATTAAGTTAAATAATGTTATTAGGGTTCATTGATAAATTAAACATGAATCGCACGAAATGACAACAATTTTTGT